TTGGATCCAGACATGGCAATCGTTCACATGGACTTGACGAATATCATTTTGTGAGGTAGTCGGGGGAGAGCGTACACATGCTGGGTCTCGTCGATATTTTTGGAAGAAGAAAGCCGGAACACACATGTCTGGCTCCATCTGATGTTTTTGGTAACGGTTGGGCGGAAGTATAGAGCACTATGATAGAGACCAGAGAGTCTTAAATAGCCGGTCCACGAAAGCCACGTGCGGAGGCTTAAGGATCTTTAGACAGGAAATGTTGCTGCCATGTGGATGTGGTATCGGATTTTGTTTGGATCTCGCTGGCGGAAGCTTTCCATACGTTGAATTAGCTAGCGTTTTGGAAAGAGGGAAAGAGGATATTTGTATGGCTTTTCGTACATCCGAAGGCGTCAATAGCCTTTTGGAAAACAAAATCACGAGGCCAACATTTGGGCGGAGGTGCGTTATTTTGGAGAATAAGATGGACAGTTACGGCGTAGAGAAGACAGAAGAGAGCATCCAAGAGAGGGTTTATATACCCTCACCACCACCCACTCCATCATCAGACGACACCTCCTAATGCACATATCACTGCTATCACATGGATCGCAAACACCATCTTTTGAGTGAAGTAAAGACATCCTGTCTAATCATCATTGCGTCATACCACCCCTCTATCTATCTATCGTACGCCCACCCCATCGCCCATGCAGGATAAATGATGAAAAGAGAAAGAGAAAAGAAGAAGAAGAGAAGAAAGACGCCTGTAAATGCCCAACAACCATGATTCATAGCCATGAAGCGTTGCATCAAACCATACGAGGGGCATCAAAGAAACCATTACGAAAGGGGAGGAGGAGCAATAGGAGGAGGTTTAGAAAAAAACCCAGCCAGCACCCAACACAAAACATCCCGAAAAGTAATGTAAACCCCCCCTACCCCACGCACACATACATCATCATCAACATCTAAAACCCAACCATAATAATACAAATCATCCATCTAATCCCAGTCCCAAGCCCATCTTTCCATCTCCTAGTTGTTTGCCATTGGCGCGCCCCTCCTCAGCTTGTAATCCGGCAGATGATCAAAGTCATCTGTCTGACTGTTGTACCTCCAAGCCTTGAACTCAACGCCATATGGCTTAGGCTCAAGCTGGTACAGCATGCCGAGCGGGCAATCCAAATCCGCCACATCCTCACGCTTCAGGCCCTGGAAGTACGCCAACAGTACACGGGCAACACTCCGATGTGTGATGAGCAGGCAGTGATCCGTCATGCGCTCTAGCTCTACGATGACAGGACGGATACGGTTGATGACGTCGAGGTAGCCTTCACCACCGGGGCCGGGGTAGCGGTAAGCCAGCTTGTCACGGCGCCGTTGGAGGTATTCGTCTGCATATTTTTTGCGGATTTCTTCGTAGGTGAGACCCTCCATGAGACCCGCATTCAGCTCGTCCAGCATGCGCATTTGTTTAAGTTCGAACTCTTCGTCGCAAAAGTATTGGCCAGTTTGGATACCGCGCTTGAGCATCGAGGTCCAGACGCAGAAGTTGCGTTGTTCAAGCTCGTGGCTGTAGTAGGGGTTTGGAGGGGTGTGGTCGCCTGCCACTGGGGGGAAGTGGGTATTGGCCATCTTGTCTGCTTGTCGAACGGCCCAGTCTTTGCGCTGTGCGGCAATGAAGCGTGTCATGGCCTTTGCGTACTTTTGTCCGTTCTCGCTAAGGTCGGAGTCACCGCCAATCTTTCCGGCAACATTGTCCTCTGATTCGCCGTGTCTGGTTATCCAAATCATACGCGGTGCAAGGTTGAAGTTGAGGAGGTAGTAGACGGCTTGGCCTGCAAGGAAGCCCTTGATTTGATGCGAAATCATCTTTCGGCCAACATCCACCATCTTGACGTAGGGCATGTTGTTGTCCTCCTCATAATCGCCGATTGGAACATAGTTCTTCTCGTAAATGGCAACGCGCTTCTTGAAGTCTGCCAAGGCTGCGACTGGGTCCTTGTCTGCGTAATCTGGACCTGATAGCTTCAGGCGCATGTTGGATTCCAGGAGATTCTGATCACGGCAAACGCTCTCGACGAACAAAACGTTGAGTTCTGGTCCAGCACGATCTCGTATCCGCTCCATGATCTGCTGTCGTCGCGCCAGCGTACTGTTGGTCGCATCGAATATGCCCACAGACCCACTGCCCTTCAGAATGTAATCCAGCAAATCGTCCAGAGTCTCCATAGCGCATTGCTCACGCAAAGCCGCTGCCCTTTGGTTTTGTGGGTCGAAAAAGTCGGCTGACTGGTCCATCGACTCTTCCTCCTCGGTTGCCGTCTCATTGTTCGGCGAAGGCGCCTTCGGGCCTGGCGATGTGACTTCGACTCGTGGTGGTGGTAATGGTGGGCCGTCCTCGTCCTCCGCAATGGCCGTGCTACCCCGGCGTGGGTCCGGCATGTTCTGTGGGTCTATGGGCCCATCGTGCGCGGGGTCGCCATTGATAAGAATTTTCGCAGCGATCTGCGGAAGTGAGTCTTGATGTTCCTCAATGGCCTGCTTGACGTGTGAGGAGACGCGCTCGAGGTTTGCTTGTGACAGCCTGAATCCACTGTGACTCGCAGCTACTCTCCGCTTCTCTCCCACATTGAAAATCTTGGTATCGTGCTGCAGCCAGTTCAGATAGCGTGCCATCTTCTTTGTAATGTATGATTTGCCTCGCGCGGGCAGTCCAACCATGACGATGACAAGCTTGGAGCCGACATCTCGCTGTGCGATCTTGCCGTCGGGGGAGACCTTGGATTTGGTCAGGCCGGGGATATCGAGCGTGGTAGGCCGTAATCGCGGGGTCGACGTGGTGGAGCTATTGCGTGTTAGGGCGCTGTCACGGTCAGCGAAGTAGGAAGCGCTCTGCGACGGCGGTTTTCCATACTCCCGCGGACTTCCCGGAACAGATGGCAGTGGGGTGTCACTCAAGGCAGTGCCCACGCCATCCTTGGTGACCAAACTCCCATTGTGGTGCTGTTGGTTGACTGGATTCGGGACCGCTTTCAGCTGGCCATTTTGGAGGGCGCTCTCCTTGAGAGCCTGCACGTTCTTTGCAGGCGCAACAGCAGGAAATTTTGGCTCAGCGGATACGGCGCGGGGAGTGAGGTCGTTGTCGTTGTTGGTGTTTGGCTGCTTTGCGTTGTCGAGGGGTAGGGTGAGTTTGCTCATTACAGATCGGGCGTATATGGAGTGGGAGCTGAAGCGGCGGTTTGGAGTCGAGGTATTTGAGGAAGCTGAGGATCGGCGGCGATGCGAATGCTTGTGATGTACAAGCTCGGTCACAGTCGGCGTCGGGACTGCTTCCATGTTTGGCGTCATGCCAAGATGTCGAAATACTTATCAAAGGCTAGCTTGGCCGCTGCACACTAAGATAGGACCCAAGGCTCTGGATGCAGGTTGCTGTTGCCGCTGCAAGACTGTGTGGGACTGGGTTGCGCTGGGGAGACGGTCGAAAAGGCTGTGTAGAAGAAGAGTTCCTGTCGAATTGTCGCGTGAATTTCAGAGTGCAGGCTTGTCGGGCCGGTGACCTTATCAAGGGATCGATATGACTGTTCGGAGTCGGCCTTTGGTTGAGAGGGCTAGGAACCACGGGTGCGCCGCTTGACTAGGCCGCCGGTGGTAGCGGAGGGCGAGTTTTCAGAAACGCGCGCAAACGCGTTGAGCAGTGCATGGTGAGCAGTTTTTATCCTCCAGTCTCGACGGTCAGATTGTGCGAGGACAAGGCGCGACTTGTCTGCGCATCGCTGTCCGAGTACAAACCGCTTGGCACGTCTTCTTGCTGGAAGCGGACAACCCCACAGTCCGATACCGAAACGAAAGCCAATCATTCTCACACGCCTCCCGCTGCACCTCGAGACGACCAAGATAGCACACAACTACCCTGATCTGATCCTTTACACGCAGACACGGGCTAGACAAATTCCAAAGTAGCTCTGAGCGAGGTGACAGTCTCGGTCGTTGCACAACGTTCCATTCCTCTCATGGTGATTCCGTGCCATGTTGACCAGTTCCTGGGTGGATCGCGCAACGTCAGCGTGCAGCTACACACTCCACTGTTTCTTGTATAGGTAAAAGTCCTTGGCACTCATATACATACACGACAATGTATTTCCCCAGATTTCCAGAAGTAGTTTCCAGACTTCTTTCCAGATGAAACCTCCGCATTGTGGAGACCCTTTGGTCACCTGCCGTATGTCTGGGACGGTACCAAGGTAACGTCGTCATCTGTGCTGAAAGCACTCGTCGAGATAACGTGACCGTTCATCACGATCCAAAGACGTCAGTGATGAGATGCTCATGTCGCCAGTTTGAGCGTCAGTACCAACAGACAGATGTATGCTGAGACGCTTAATGCCGTCAACACAGTGACCACATTGCCGGATGTTCGGAACTTCTTCCTGTGCAACCCATCCTCACCGACTTCTGAGAAGAACTGTTTGTTACCTATCTGTTGTCAGCAGCCACACCTGCGTCGTCGTCATACATCTGCACCATGACTGTCAACTGACCTTGCTGTCGCCGGAACAGACTAATAAACAGAATGCCAGCGCCGTAGACTGCGAACAGTGCACCGATCGAATAGAATTCGGCGGTGAAGATCTTGAGTACTACGAGCGCAAAAGAAAACTGGCCGATTGCTGTACGGACGTATGCGCCCTCAAATGTTCGCTGTGCTGCGCGAATCTCAACCAGCTCTGCACTTGTCAACACGACTGATCGCGCGCGATGCAGGTGAAGGCGGTAATTGTCTGACGCGTGACGGCCCTGGATATTGTGAGCGGCGACATTTGTAGACACGCATCGTCAGAGTCCTACTTCGAACATGATTATTTTGTCGTGTTTATCGAGAGTGCAGATGAACGTGTTTAGTGGTGAAGTCGCTCCGATCAATTGCTTGATGCGTGACGTAGTGGGGTTAGAGCTTCCGAGGTTCAACCACGGCGCGTCCAACGGCTCAGGACATACGCGTTTTCATGGCCATGATGTGTGTGGTTCATGGCATAACCTAAAATCAAAACCTATGTGCTCTATCAATTCCGTATGATCCACGATGCTGTCGGGCTTGATCAAACGCGTTAGCTTTTTCTCAAGATGAGGCTCGACAGGTTGCTTGCTGCAGGGTCCAAGCACCTCCGAAGCTGTCGCCGCAACCACAAACAATGCAGCGAGAAGTCCATTTCAACAACGCTCTATACTGCAATTCACGCTTTGTAGTCGGTAACACTCCCAGTATCCCCTCTGTGTCATTGTCGCATGCTACATAGCGCCTCGCGAATCTTTACTCGGCGCGGCATATGTTCTTCACCTGGAACGAACCTATGGTAAGTTTGTCACGCTAGAGAGGCCCTCAATACCACGTCAAACCTTCCATGTCGCAGACCAAATCTGACTGAGGCGATTAGGTGCTCTAATATCCGCCGCGATCATTTTATCCATCCCTCGTCCAGGTCATCGACTACGTTCTGCCGCCCATTTCCGCCGTGGACCGATTATCCTGACACGTACATAACCGAAGAGGGAAAGATGGCAGGTGGAGGAAAGCCGAAGTTCTATGGAGTAGCCGCCGGACGCAAACCAGGCGTGTATACAGATTGGCCGACTACGCAAGCGCAGATCAGCGGTTTCAGTGGTGCCAAACACAAAAGCTTCAAGACAAAAGAAGAGGCCGAGGCTTTTGTTCGTGGCATCAGCGCACCCATCAGCCTACGAGGAGATCTCTCTGCATCCAGGTCCCCATCGGCGACAGATCATCTGGACAGGAGCACGGAGGTATCGGAGAGTGCACCCAAGCGCCAAAAGAAGGAGGATGCATCGCCAGCACCCCTCTTGGACAACCAAGACATCAAGTTCGAGCCTGGCCTCGGCCCCCTCCCGCTCAACGCAGTAGATGGTTTCGACCCGAGCCTCAAGCTCGACGACAAAACAGGCAACATCAGAGTCAAGACAGACGACGAACTTGGGAAAAGGAAGAGACAGCCGACAGGGGATTTCAAAGGCCCCGTTGTTGTATACACAGATGGTGGTTCGCGGGGCAATGGCAATGCAGGTGCGAAAGCCGGTTGTGGTGTCTACTTCGGCCCAAGAGATCCGAGGTCAGTATCATGGCAAACAGCATGTGCTACAGCCTGGAGCATTTGCTGACGTTGAACACAGGAACGTCCAAGAACCTCTCAAGGGCGATGTCCAGACCAACAACCGAGCCGAACTAGTCGCAATGGCCCGAGCAATTGACCACGTTCCCATCGATCGCGACCTTCACATCATCAGCGATTCAGAATATTCCAAAAATTGCCTTACAAGCTGGGTTGCAGGCTGGGAGAGGAATGGCTGGAGGAACAGCAAGAACAAAGAGGTGGTGAACAAGGATATCATCCAACCCATTTTGGCAAGGATACGGGAACGTGAGAAGTGTAAAGCTCAGACTCTCATTACCTGGGTGAAGGCCCACGCGGTAGACGAAGGCAATATCGCAGCAGATGCACTGGCCAACCAGGGCATGGACAAGTGGACCACTGAGCTTGCGTCAGGAGAGGTCTTTGATATGTCAGAGACCCTCAGGACAAAATACAGAAACCCCAACGATCCAAAAGACGAATTCGACGATGCAGAAGAGATCGAAGGTTTGTTCCGCGAAATGGCAGAAGAAAATCCAAATGGGTTTGAGGGCGATCCTCTAGCTCAACATGATCCAAAGCCCAACGATGTCCCACAACAAGGTGTTGCAGCTGCCGCGCAGGAGATCGAAGGTGCATGGCCTGATGACCCACAACTCCCCTCGAATGTGAACGGCGAGCAGAAAGAGCCGGAGTTGGAAGTCACGAATTAGACGATTTTCATAAGTCGGAAACCAAGCATGAATATGGTTGGATGACGTAAAGGCACCAATCTCGACAACAGGACGCTGCAAACCGTCGTCGTGGATTTGTACGACTGGATTTACTTGGGAAAAGATCAGGGTGCAGGCATCGACGGTAATTTGGGTCATCGTGATACCCATACGATAGCATACCATGTATCAGGTACAAGATTGGCTGGAGCCAAGAAAGTCAACCACGGTACAATCGCGAGGGACAGAATATTCCAAAGATATAAAACTGAGGTATTTTCCAATACTGCAATTCTTGCACACTCGCACACGGCTTCGGTTACGATCATACCACACTACAGCCTTACATACACCACACACTCAAGCACACTATCCCATGTCACCCAGTCCCGCAATCGGCGCGTTCGTCTGCCCATCCATCGAGGATTCCAAACACCAAAAAATGACGTCCGCCATCGAATCTGGCACGTTCATGTACCTATACAACCCTCAAAGACACCACACAATGATATACGATCCCGAACTTGGCACGAGCGCCTGTGAATGCAGCCACCAAAAGTCCAAGTTCCAGAGCGTGATCAAGAAAGTATCATATTGCATAGTCGTATGCGCCCATGTCTCCGCCGCCATAACCATATTCATCGCTAGCTTCCTCACAATTATGAGCTGGAAACATCCTCATACTGTACAACAATGGTTTGAGAATGGATCATGGGGGGTCATCATCTGGAGCTTGTTTGTTGTGAACGTCTGCATGTGCTTGGTATTGGAAATCTCGTATACGATGCTCGATGAGTAGATGGCCGACAAGGGACGGATAAGAAGGTGTGGTGAAGCACCATCTGGAGAGGCTGGCTAGTGACGCGGCCGTGATGTGGCAACCAGACTATTCAAGCGTGACTGTATTCCCGGAAGATGGGTCCGACTTAGTTGAGAGATGAATGCACATCTCGGATCACGATCCGGGATGCTCGCCACACACTAGTGACTAGTCCCACACTCGGATGTGACGGCCATGACAACCCATAAGGCCACCCACTACTATACATAATAACTGATACCTACATTTACTCCACTCTTTGTCGTTGTCTGCCTTCGTGTTTTGCATTCCCATCTAAATGCAACCACCATTTACTCTACAATTACACAACCTCATGATCATCACATTTTGTTGTCTTTGCCAAAGTCTACTATTACATAGGATGTCGAACGAATCCGTAGACAAGCACCTCAAAAAAGGCCGTATCGGTTTTTGGTTGCTAGTGGTCGCTGCGGTACTGCAAACATCCGTTTTCATCTCGAAATGGATCGAAGGCAAGCATACAATGTTTGACGCCGCTGCAGTCGTCAATGCATGTCTGTTGTGTTGGTGGGCTTGGGGAGTAGCGAGGAAGAATGAGAAGATAGCAAGAGAGATGGTGGAGAATGGCGGAGTTGCCGATATCGAGAAGGGCAATATGTGCAAGAGGGACGAGAAGGAGAAGGCGGGCTTGGGAGGTATAACAGAGGAAGGGAAACAGGGCTCGGAGGTAACGACAGCAGAGATAGAGGAAAAAGCGTTGAAAGAAGAGACGACGACGAAGGAGAAGTTGGAATTGGAGATGTAGGGAAGGAGCGGCTTGCTCATCGTTCTGGACGCTGGTGCGCTCAGATACGACTTCCTCGAACAGTGGATCGTCTGGCAGCTACAATAACGCGCCAAGTGATTACAGATCTTCAACAACTTCGCGTCAAGCACGAATTATATCATTCTATCCCTTCTGATATCTGATCGACCCTTGCCAACCTTCAGAGCGTCATGAGTTGGCTCACCCTGTGCACTGAGACCATGGAAGTCCTTGACAGCTACTTTCAGTCACGTCTACCAAGGATCAATTTCCTCGTATCCATAGTGACTAGGGAGGAGCCAGTCAAGTCGACCACAAATCTCACACTACCTACGCAAAGTCTTCTGCATCAAAGACAGAAAGTTGCAGTTACAGAATCTATAACACTTCCTTGCGTCAGTTAGTAACCTTGTGAAATTTTACATCCCTTTTTTTGCACGAAACGGAAATTCTCGCCTTTCGGCTCCCGCGACTCTGTCCACAACAATGCTTTCCACACGCAGAGACACCTGCCACGCGCTCATTTACTACTTCTCTGCATACGCAGTCTGCGTCATCACCATCGTCTTTGCCGTCTACAGCCTTGCAACCGCTTACCACCTTTGCTGCCTCGAGTTCGCAGTCGGAAACGGTCCTATCATATTTTCCATACGGTCCATCCTCATTTCAACGTCCATCTTTCCTCTGGGAAAATTTGTAGTGGAAACATATTACATGTTCTTCCATGGACTTGGAGATGTTGTGGATGGTGAAGATGCTCAGTAAGCAATCCGATCCTGTGTCCAAACGAGGCAAAGAAGATGGTTAGCCTTCAAAATATGAGCGATGTTGATGGCGTATCGTTCATTTACTGACATTTGCAAGGTTGCGCCGCGTATGTATGAGACCCTATCGCAAGTAGGTTCCATCGAAACAAGCCAAAATCTTTCAATCAGATCGTTTCCCAATAGAACAAATCTTCAGCAGACCCAAAGACACATTCCACATTGTCGTGGAGACCCTCATTCCAGCCTTGGCTTGAGTGATACCGAATTTGGTAGCGAGGTTACATGGATATGATGCTTACGCTTTGCACACAAATGAGCAAGATTTCCTATCCGTGGTTCATCTTCGAGTAGTGATGGGTCATCTATTCTCAACCATTGAACCTTTTATCAGAAGCGGGAATCGTTGAGCAATTCTGTTCCCTATCCTCGTCACGACATGCAAGTTGCTTCAATGCGATAGAAGCAATAATAAAGACAACCATCTCACCAGCGGCTCTCACAACAACAACCATGCAATTGATGCCGTTCGCCGTAGCTGGCGGTATTGCCATAACTTCCTTTTCGCCAGGGCCCTCGAAGACCGCTACTAGTACTCTTGTACCTCCAGAGTCTTCAATAACGACTCCACCAGGTGTTTTTTCGATGCCCATGTCTAAGCTATCCTTGAACATGGGTCACGGTCCTGTTGTCTTTTCACGAACCAGTGCGACAGTGCCAACATCTACATCTACCCCAACTGTTGTCGAACGTGGAACTGGTCTCTCCCTCGAATCAACAAGCCGTGAGATACGGTATGTCGATGAACCTCGGCAGAAGTGTACTGTTCATCTCCACGCTGCAGGAGAACTTCGAGATCCCAGAGGCTATACAGAAGGTATCCAATCCGGCCAACGACCTCTGCTCAACAGCTGACGGATCAGCGACCGGAATCATACGAACAGCCTACAGCGTATCGGGATTGGAAATCGACAGGACCCAAGCTTTCTAAGATGTATGAGCTTCCAGACTGGCCAGTAGTACCGCCAAGACCTCGTATACATCATAGTAGACGAGGCTGCGACGTCTAAATCTCTCATAATATACAAACGAAGAGGAGAAAAGGATAACGAGAGATAGTAGGGGGATAGTTAGATTCTAGGAACTGATAACATGAATGGTCTAAGACTCGTTTGACTCTCATCAAGCGGATCCTGAGCCTGTCTTGTTGTACAGCCAGTCCAGTTCCGGCCAGGCAGCTCTTATCTCGTTTGTGCCACTTAGAATACCTTCACCTTTCCCCAATAGACAACCTTGGAAGCTTTCTACAAGTGTTCGCGTAATCTTGATCATTCTGTCCGCACTGACTGCTCCCTTACCACCTGAGATTCCGAGTCCCTGCTTGAATACAATGAGATCGGAGAAGTCAGTGTGATTAGACTTCCCTCCAACGTTTATCTCTTTGGCCCAGGTCGATTGCTGCGCATCGAAGTCTGCAAACTGTGGATTACCTTTGTCGTATGCCGAACTCAAGATCAAGCTGGGTATGCGTAGGTCTGCAGAAGAGTCGTTTGCAGCAGCCGGGCCCCAGAGACTTCCGTCCATGTTCAGAGCGCCGAGGATTCGATGCTTGCGTTTGGATGTGTGATTACGTTGGTGTAAGATCTGACTGAGTGCTGCAGAGCCACCGAGCGAGTGACCGAAGAAAGAGAAGTGTGTAAGGTTGAGGGGTATCGATAGATGTTTCGAGAGAGCGGGCATGGCTTCGAGGACTGCGTCTGCATCCGTGAGGCGGTATTCATGCACGCGCTGTAGGAGCTGGACTCCTTCTTCTGTGTTTGTATCATAATCGAATGGCAAGCCTGGAATGCCGGTGCCGTCGGGTAGCTGGAGGTACGGTTGCTCGTATGGATGATCCATGGTCACTACTGAGTATCCATGGGACACTAGATCGGAGATAAGGGCATGGAACACCTGAGATGGCGGTCCAGCGAAGGGCGGGCTGAAGATGAGTGTCGGTAGGTTCAATCCTTTCCATTCTTTCAAAAGGAGTGGCTCGGCTTCGTAGGCTGTACGGGCGGTGACGTTGCGAAATGAACCATTGGGAAGTCCGAAATATGTATCATAAAGACTAGAAAGTCCACTCCAGATGTACTTTGATGGTGAAGCCTTTTGTTTGGTCGGATAAAAGATGTTGAGTAGAATGGAGGTTCCAGTGCCGTTAGGTGCAACAGGGTCGTCGAAAGTGATCTTTGGCAGGACGTGGGCTTTAGAGCCGACGCTGAACAAGCCCGTTGGGGGAGGAAGAACGAAGCTGTCTGAAACCGCAACGATGCTCGCTACACTTGCGATTATGGGAGCATGAAACCTCATATTGATTGTGTCTGATGGAAGCTCAATATTGGCGAGCTTGCAAACTTGAGCATCATGGTCAACATGATATTCTTAGGTAGATAAATCTGAACTGCTGCCTTGGCGATGAGCTGAAACCGATTAGCTGGGTAAGGCGACCATCAGTCCAACATGGCGGTTATGGAGCTTCCGCATTCGAGCAAGTCTGCCTTGAAACCTAGTCCTCATTCAGCAATGAATGTCGTACAAGCCGCAAGAACGATAAACAAGCTCACGGCTACTGGTGGACACATGAACGATGTGAGCAAGCTGCGTACCCGAGCAACCTGTCCTGTGGTGGCTCTCCACGCTTCTAGTATTTAATACTTCACTAACCATTTAGTGATCCGTTTGGCTCTTGTTTATTTGAAGCCCATTCAATTACAAGCGTGTTCTGCGCAGCTACGCATAGGTGACAGACGTGAGAAATAAACGACGTGGTGCGCAGGAGGGTCTGCACCATTCCACTTGACTCTCTCGAAAGAGCCGTCCCTATCCAGAGGCCTGCCAAAACACTACACACAGCAGGAACTCAACTTCGAAACATGGTCATTACTTCATGCGAAAACCATCGTTCTTGACCCCAGTCGACTGACCGGCATACTGACGTTCGCGATTACGCCTCCACCTCCGCCACAACCTTGACTTTCACGCCCTCGCTTTTCAGATCCGTCATCCCCAAAAAGCAATCGTAAGTCGTCAACACATCTCTGCTCTCAACGGTATCATAGATCTCGAACTGAAACTTTCTCCAAATCATCGCCAGACCAAGATATAGCTCCGACGTTGCCAAATTCATGCCCAAACAATTGCGACTCCCGCGCCCAAAAGCGAAGAGATAACGCGTAAGTTTGGGGTTTTCGATCCAACGCTCTGGGCGAAAGGCGAAAGGTTCGGGATATATGGCGGGATCCATGTGAAGAAGGTAGGGAGATTGCGTGACGGGAGTTCCTCTGGGGATGGTATACTGCGCGTATGTGAGGTCTTCGGCAGTAGCGACGCGGGGTTGACGGGAAGAGACACCGTGGGCGCAACGTAGGCCTTCATTTATCACCGCGGTCTCAATGACATGTTAGCATATCTGGTCGTGTTGTATAGTGAAGGTGGCTTACTAGGTAGGGCAAAGCTTCCAACTGCCGGAGTAAGACCTCGTGATTCACCGTTGGCATCACCGTCTCTAGCTCCCGTCTAAGTTTCTCGCCTATCTCGGGATTCTTGATCAGGTAGTAGGTAGTGACTGCCATAGTCCGTGATGTTGTCTCTGTTCCTGCACCGAGAATGACGCTTGCATCCGCCATCAACCTTACTGGATGCTTCTCTTTCTCGGGAAGTTTACAACCAACATCATCCCTTATGTCATGAAATATAGTCCGCCTAAGATCCTTTGTTTCGTTTACACCATCTTCCCGATTCATTATGCGCTCGATTCTGCCCAGGATTTGGTAAAGGTAGCCATTCAATTTTCCCGCCCCAGCATCCAACTTCGCAGCTATGTGCGGCGGCAGGTCGAGGAGGAAGTTGAAAATCGTGGGGAACTGGCGAGCGAATGGCACTAACTGCATTCCGTCGTGGAAGATGGTCAGCCAGTCTTTACCATAGTCATCATTGTCTAAGGTCTTCATTGACTCGCCGAAGCAGTATTCAGAAATGACATCCATAGCGAAGGCGGCATATGCATCATTGAGGATCACAATACCGGCGTGCGGGCCCTGCTTTTCCATTTCACCTTCGAAACGACGTAGGAGCTTCTTTATGTTATTCACAACGAGCCCTTCAAGAGCCTGAACAGAGCGCTTGCTGAAGAAGGGGGATACAGCATTTCGTCGCATCCTATGCTTATCGTGGTCCATCGTTTCAAGTATGGCGCCCGCCCAAACCTTGGAGCCGGTGTGGTGCGACCAGCTACAACGGTCACGCTTGTGGTTGACGCCGGACGCGTAGATGGTGTCGAAATAGTCTGCATCGTGAATATGAACCTGTAGGGGGTTAATACGGATGATGGGTCCTGTCAATATTGTGAGAACGAGACATCAAGTGATGGCGATGAAGACTTACCATATTCCTCGTGTAGCTGTTTGATCTTCCAGAGGTACTGGAATCTATGCGGATAGATCTCATAGTAGAACTCGTACCAGAAGCTGAACGCTGCCAACTACATGCCGTCAGTTTCACCATGAGAGTTTCCACTTGGTAGAACCGTGGGATTCAAACCTTTGGCCCAGGAATCTTGGACAGGGGATGAAAATACACCCTATGTATGCCTATGGCCAGCCAGTACAGTAGCCATATACAGAACAAAGACGCGACGACCGTCTTCGATTCGATCTGACGAGATAGTTCCGAGAGGTGATCCATTGTGGATGGAAAATTAGATTTGCTGTGGACGCGATTGCAGCCCAAGTGGGGTTCTGCAAGCTATATGTACACATATCGTAGATGTTCTAGACATAGGGTAGGACAGCGCCATGGGGCGTTAAGTATACCATTAGCTCTCGCGTCAGCGTCATGGGCGGGGCTGGATGTCCGGCGCTTCATAAAGCTGCAAACGGCTAGCGCTTATCGTGAGGCTGAGACACTATGCAGCCCATGCGAGCCAATCATGTGAGATGGGAAATCGCAGATGAATGGACGAAAAATTGTCTGTTGGAAATACTGTAGCGGTTCTTTGCTTCGCTTCCCTTATCTCCTACACTAAGATGCTCTTTGCACAATGAAGGACTGCGTGATGCTGTAATCTCCTGGGCCAAACTTGCTCAGCCAAAACAATGGCATCACCCTTTTGTCATTGGTCTTTGGCACCGACTGAGCTATTGAACTGGTCCATATAAAGCCTGGGCGAAGAATTAAACATGCACTGACGCCATGGTCACGATGGACGTCAATTCCGCAAGGCAATGAGTGGAAGATACGATGACTTTTGGAAGTCCGTTGGGCCTATTGACATCAGTCTTAGTTATTATTTTGTCAGGATGAGTTCCCAGAGCTACTTACGGCAAACATCTGGACAGATTGAATGAGGTTTTCGTCGACATATCCGATGTGAAATGTCCAGATGTTCTGATATGGTGGGAGCAAGTACGTTCTACCAAACGTGATATTAATCATGACCTCGGTGCCTAGAATTGGTAGCATTGCCCTGCTCTGGTTGCGGAAAGCCTCCTGATAGCAACAGTCTCGATAGATGCCTGGCTCTTTAGACGACTCATACAGCGAACGATAAGCGGAGCACTTACCACTTATTATAGCAACATCCCACTCAACTATACTAGCGGTTGGGCGCTTATCTACCTCTACATCCATCATCGAGCCTACCAGGCCCGAGAGATATTCTTCAATACTTGGCGTATCTTGCGGGTCTGACCAATCGTCTTCAATGAGCCAGACTTTCACATTGTCCAAATTCGACTGGAAGGATCGGTCATTCCTACTCCTGAGCGTTACACTGAGGTCTAGTGAACACTCAATACAGAGTATCATGATCTCGAAGAAGATACAGCCCATCGAGAATATATCTGCTGCACGCCCACTAGGCTCGAATCTCGCAACTTCTGGCGCGAAGTATTTTGGTGTGCCTCGTTCTCCATTGTCCGTGACACTGGTGGTTAGCACCGAGAAGTCTGTCGCAGTGCCAAAGTCTGTCAGCCATAAGCCATTCCTCGAGAGCAAGATATTAGATGGCTTCAGGTCTTTGTGCTTGATGTCAGACTCATGGATATACGCCACTGCGCTGGCTATACAGCCAATCGTGCTCTTTAGAAAAGCTACCGCTGAGTCACGGGCCAATGTTGTTACGCCTCCGAGTAGGATTCCAAGTGCTTGAAGCCTTGCCTCTCGTTCCTCTGTTTGTTCCGTCCATTCCTCTGACAGCTTGAGAGGCAGTCCTTGTTCCAACAGAATCGGCTTCTGCAGCCAATCGACGTCTTCGAGGAGGCTGGCGAGGTCACAAGTCGCGACTGGCCACAACAATAATCCGAGAAACGGGCCGTGCGTATAGGTACCCATCAGCCGAATGATATGACGATGCGAGAGTTTCTTGATGACCTCAATCTCCCGTCTTTCTCTTTCGCCTATCTTGCGACGACAGTATTTGCGCTTCCACGCGAGCTTGACACCATTACAGCTGGTTTCGTACACTCCACCGTGCATACCATGCCCTAGAAATTTGCCTTGTGTGAGGGGAAGCACATCAGACTTATTATAATCAACGTGAGAAGTCCCGTGGCCAGACCAGTCCAATGATACACCATCGATGTATTCACAAGGTGGCTGTTCGGTCAGGGGAGTAGTAGCCCGTTGGAAGGCGTAACCTGCCCAGCGTTGAATGTGGTCGACGTCTGTTTCCTCGTTGAAGGCTGATCGCTCGTTGGGATGGTCAATCGTGTTACGCACGGAGAAGAAATTGTCAAGCTGCTGGTTTTCTTCATCGGTTAACAGATCGGGGCCATAATCGGGGCGGGTAGAGGTCGCCATGTAAGAAGCTAGCAGGACGGTCTGATATTAGTGCAGTCGTGGAGATAGCAAACTTATCGCAAAACGCTCAGGCTGTAAGAACTCCGGTGATCACAGCAATGTGTTAGCCTTCGAAGGCGGGGTTTTCCAAGCCACAATATGCAGACCAGGGTAGCAGTCCTACCCAATCATCGTTCTTCAAAAGTATGCACCTAGTGCTCTTGTCTGAGCATCGCATTTGGCTTAGTGTAGGCTGATGCTGTGCATTCACTGTCGGAAGGTATGATGGATCGTGAAAGAGGCAAAAAGGAAAGCCCTGGTAGAACCTACGGCTCAATTCCAGGATCGAACTGGAGATCTTCGCATACCATAGAAGCTACGAGTGCGACGCCTTGCCACTTGGCCAATTGAGCCCGAGTTATTACCGATGGCGGATTGATAGATGATATACACAATCATTGAGAGTGAGAAAATCAGAGCATGGCCAGCTTCACCAGAGGTTCCGAGGTGTGAATGTCTACACGCTACGTAGGCAGCAAACAGAGCCACCCTCACCCAGAGGCCTCGCGTTGATTGCGGATACTCGTCTTGTCCACATTACTGATCAATGCATCCCTCCATTCTTGGTCTTTGAGTATGCTCCGTACCCTGGCTTCCAACCAGTCGGTGTTTCCCCAGAAACCCCAGCTGGCCTGGAAGCGCAACCAGTCTACGAGGGCAGTCTCCCAATGTCGCACGAAGATGGACCAGGTGTACTCTTGTTTGCCGACCTCTACCAGTCTCTTCCAATATCGCTCCAACAACTGCCTTTCGCCTTCTTGCATGGATAGCTCCGATGGGATATGCCGATCGGCAACGAGCATGTTCAGTGGAACGGAGCAGGTGAAGAACTTTGCTAGATCGCAGACTCCAAGGCCAAGTCCAACATATTGGAAGTCGTAGAACGCGACCTCTTCGCCGAAGCTGCTTGTGAACATGTTTTCAGACTTCACGTCACCATGTATAAGAGTTTGATAACCTTCGATTGGTGTCCAACCGACAGCTTTCGGCGAGAGGAACGCAGCTGCTATTTCGGATATGGAGACATCTTCACCATCAACCCAATCAGTTAGTGGTTCGTTCCATTCTGAGTCGTAATCTGCCGCCAGGCTGTCATACTCCTTCCGGCGCGTCGCCAAATACGTATATCCACCGTTCAGCCAGACCGACTTGTTCGACGCGTCTTGTCCGTCGCGCTTCACCTCCTCAAGTGGGGGCAGTACGAGCGAAGAAGAGTCCAGAGACTTGACGCGAGACCACCAGAAGCCATGGAACCCAGACAACCAGTCCAGCGCTGCATGAGCCTGGATTGTCGTGAGCACGTTGCGCTTCTCTCCAGCCACGGGATACTGTTGCCGGAGATCGCTCAACAGCATTGCAGTCATTGAGGTCCCATCAGTATTGTGCTTGTTGATGCTAGCCAGGCATTTCGCGACCGGTAATGTTGCTGGCAACTGTAGGGCGAGGTGGCTATAAAAGTATTGTTCGACTTGGTAGCTCAAGATTTTTCGAGAGTGACCTTCGTCATTGGCCTTGGTCGGTGGGGGATTGACGAGCTTCAGTATGTAGGGTTTCGGCGCATCTTGCGAGCCTATTGGATTAGCTAACACGCGACATATCTCGCCGTAGCCGGCCCAGAGTGATTGGATGGTTTGTAGGGAGTGCAGCTGCAGCCCATTCTCAGCAAGAAGAGCCGATGCTACTCCATCTGGCGATATTCGAGCAGGCATTGGATTTGTTGACGGTCGCAGCCGAGCGTACAGAAAGGGCAACAGGAAGACTGAGATGCACGGAATCAGGAGGTAGGCGATAGTTCGCTGGGTACGTGTGATCATCCGAACGGCGGAGAGTCGAAAGTAGCGAATGTGTATGGCATGGACACAGTCAGACGTCTAGCATTGGCGGTCTAGATCGCAGTCCGAGGGGCACGTCAAAAGTCAATGTTCCGACGACGTGACGCGACACGTTAGTCATGCGTAGCTTACATAAGTGTCACTTCTGAATCAGGATCCAGTCGATACTTATCTTGCTCGTCTTGTAGCCTCTCCATATCGACACTTTTCGAGCGATCTCCAAGCCTCTCGCAATTAAACCCCCAAAAAGCTGTCATCATTTTCGAGAGGCTATCTCTGACTGAAGCTCTAAACAACAGCGCCGACTGAGCATTGACAGAAGTCCAGGCTCGTGAAACAATCACATATGGCCCGGTAGGGCTATTTTCATTGATCAGAATGGTAAGATTAATATCTTCTATTAACAAGAAATTTAGGTACAGCCACAGTGCTGATCAAGCTACAGCAAATACTGGAAGTAGATGTTCTCCTTGTCAGTCATATCCTGCAGACCGTTCTCGCCATGAACTTCGGCACCAGCCTCGTGAAAATGACCGCTCATCGAATGGTCGATAGGATCTCTAGGAAGACCGGCTGCTTCACGCTGATCGCACTTCTTCTTCTGCATCCAGGTAATTAGGACAATTTGAGCGATGACGACACCCCAAAGAATGCACCAGATTGCCAAGATACCCTTGAGAGCATTGACCTAGAAAGACGTATGGTTAGCGACGAGCTTCGACCTGAACGTTGGAACAGGGTATTACTTACGTATTGCGGCGCGAACTTCGCATCGAAGATGTAAGGGGTGATGATGTTGCCAATAGAGTTGCCAGCGTTGAATGAGGTATAGTAGATAGCCTTCTTGGTCTGTCCGGCACAGTTGGCACCCATCCAGGAGATGAGAAGAGGGTTAATTGCATATACGAAGGCGATCAAGTAGTAGCCTGCAAGTAGACCGCCCTTGTTGGAGGGGGTTTTCGGAAGCGCCACCAGCAAAGCGACACCGACAATGACGATGGTGACAAGGCCGAGCAAGAAGGGGGACTTGCGCTTGAATCGGTATGCCAGATATGACGCAGCAAGGATGGACACAAACTGAAGTGCTCCAAAGGGCATATTCAGTAGAACGGCTTCATCCGCATTGAACCCGGCCAGGTTCTTGAGGATGATGGAACCAAAGACCGAGGAGACTGAAGCGCCCGCGTTGACGGCAATAACCATAATCATGTACAGCCAGTACTTGAGTTCAGTAACAGCCTCAATGACGTGCTTCCAGTTGAACTTGTGCGAGACAATACCCTGTTGATTGGCCTTCAATCGGTCGACGGCCTTCAGGCGATCCTCTGGCGACAAGAATCGAGCCTCTCCAGGACTGTCGTGGGCCCACCAGTATGTGATGAGGCCGATAGCGATGGTCAGGAGTCCGAAGAAAAGGTAGACGATCTGATACCGGTAAAGCGTAGATGAGTGGATGCGGCCGAAGCCATAGACGATGGGTGCACTAATCAGGGTGCTAAGACCATAGCAGCTGTACCAGCAAGCTACGCGGAATGGCTGCTCGGAACGCCTGTAAAACGCAATGGTGATCATCGAGAACAGCGGAATGACTGCAGCCTCAAATGCACCGAGGAAGAAACGCGATGCGAGCAACCCGGCGTAGTTCCTGGAACCACCAAGACCGCCGGCAACTGAGATACCCCAGCAGGTAATGATGACGGGTAGGACGTGGCGGTATCGAAGCTTGACAAGTATCCATGCCGCCAAGGGTTGCACACCGAGTTGCGCGTAGTATCCAATGTTGCCGATGTTTGAGTACTCGTTGCCACTAAGATGCGCGTCTTCTTTGAGACCATAAACAGCTGTTAATCCGATGATTCCCTTGTCAGCCGATTGCAGGAAGTAAACCATGCAAAGAAGCGATAACATCCAAATGTCCGTCTTGCGGAGAATGCGTTTGTTGTCTGCGTCGGAACAGAGGTGAGCATCGCTTAGGCCTGTCTCCTTGCCCTCCTCGTAAGCCACGGCGTGGTCAATTGAGATATCGGAAATGTGCTCCGCCTCATGAGCGCTCGGCTTCTCGACTGTAGCCATACTGCAAAATCAGTCGTCACAAAGATGGAGTGAAGAGGTGATCCGGGGATGGGGTGCAGTCTGGGGTATCAGTCTGGGGTAGGCGTTTATATGCTTTCATTAACGCGACGCCAGGGACGCCAGCGGGAGCCGGTTCAACGGCGCAGCGGACGACATTTTTCCTCCAACGACTCTGCGCGCACTAGAGGGAGTATTACTGGAATTGCGCCTGCTCGCGAGCTGTGCTTACTCCGGAGCATGCGAGTTTGTTGTAGCCAATGAGCCGGCCTAAGGAGACACCTTGACAGCAACCGGCTAAATCGATACACGGAGAGGTACTCGTGATACGCCAATCGTCCGCAGGAACGTCGCGCTGTGACCTGGACTAACGGCTCGGACTTCAAGAGACCGAGGGTGGTATCAGGGCTTATTGAAAGGGAGCTGGGCTCGTACCATTTGACCTAGATGCGTTGTGTTGTGTGGGGGAGAGCCAGGCGTATGGTCAGCATGTGTCTATTGCTCTACTGTATAGCAGCAGAATCCATCGCGTGGCGACCTGTCCATTCCCCCGGAATCGTCGTAGCACCGGGACGGTCAGAGCTTAGTGCATGAGATGGTGCTACTAAAGCTCTCAGCGCTCATCAACCGGTGGATGTGACACTCTTCATTGACTCGACTTTATGCTCGATCTTCTTTGACGTTAAGAACAAGACTCTGTGGAGCGAACAAGACTTTCTTGACCAAAGGACAAGCTTCTGGCCAAGAGAGTCCAAGGTGGCAATCCCCGGATCCCACAAACGCCACGGTTGGAGTCATTAACCGCGTTACGTCATCATTCCCCAAAACTTCCACCAACAGTGAGCCTGCCCTAGCGCCACGAAACCCTCCAATGTTTACACGCGATACAATCTGTTTGAAACCACAACTCGAGTTCAGGAGAAATTATATGGGCGTGATGTTCGATATTATAACACGAAAGTCGGAGGAACGAGTCGCTTCACGATAGTCAGCGGAGTCGGAATCACGACCCCACATATGCGGCTCCACCATCTCTCGAAAATGCGGGGTAAACGTCATAGTAATTAGGAACGTCGCGGATGTGCTGGGAAGCATCGAGAAAGATCCATCGAAGCATTGCAATTTTTGTGACCCACGTACTGAACAATAACAAGGATCCGGCGCCAAATTGACATGACCGACCCCAGAAACAACACTGCAAGTCAGCGCTTGACGCAAATCAAAGACTTTCTCACCATGAATAAGACCGCGACTACCATACCCTGGGACCCGGATTCCACCAAATTTCCGACCAGAAAAGAGCTGCCGCAGATCCCTGGTGCTCCGCCAGAAGCTGCTTGGGTTTGGGGCGACAACGACTACGTGCGTGCGACCAGACTCTAAGCTTATCGCAAACTATACTCACCAACGTCAGATCGGTCGTCTCAATCTCTTGACACCCACACGTGTGGCAGCGGCTGCAAAGGAGATCAGAAGCGGCGAAATCGTGCCTGTGAAGTGCGTGTCGCCCTGATGCATCTCGTGCGCTCCAGCTAATTGCGATGCAGCTTGCCTCTCAACGTGCCGAACGTGCCGGCATTTGGCCGCGAGCCCTTCCAACATGAGATTAAGACCCTGGCGGAAGGACTTGCTTACGATGATATCTACCACATGAACACACAATCCGGTACCCAATGGGACGGTTTTCGACACTTTGCTCATATGGCTAGCGGTTCATTCTACAATGGCGTATGTGCAAGGTTCCCGTTTTTGGAGGAGTTACTAACATAGGACGTAGACTAAAGGAAGCGATATTACGGGCCCAAACGCAAATCACAAATGCTCGATTCACCACTGGGCTGAGCACGGTGTTGCAGGACGGGGTGTTCTACTGGACTATCGCGGATACGCGCACAAGAAAGGCATCAATTACGACCCCTTTGACTACTACCCTATTTCATGGCAGGACCTTTATCAATGCGGCCAAGATCAAGGAGTAGATATCCGCCCAACAGCTCAGGGTGGTGATATCAAGCCTGGAGACATGCTATTCATTCGCAGTGGTTGGAAGGAAGCGTACGACAACAAGAGCGACGAAGACCGAACCAAGGCTGCACTACGACACGGCAGCGGCAAGGACGGCGAAGACGGTCCGCGGTTTGCTGGAGTGAGCCAGGAAGAGAAGATTCTCGACTGGCTTCACGACTCCTACTTCGCATTGGTTGCTGGTGATGCACCTGCTTTTGAGGCGTGGCCTACACACGAGAGTACGTTTTCTCGAGTCCTCGTTGAACGGCTTTGACTGACATCTTTAGACTACCATCTTCACGAGTACATCCTCGCTCTTTGGGGAATGCCACTCGGCGAGATGCTTGACCTTGAGAAGCTTGCGCAGACGTGCCGCGAGAAGAACAGGTGGTTCTTTTTCTTCACCTCTGCGCCAGCTAACTGCCCTGGTACGTAATCCACACGTGTGATGTGGCTATCCAGTATACTAATCATGTGACAGGCGGCGTCAGCTCACATGTGAACGGCACCGCAATTTTCTGAGTGATGCAACAGCATCTGGACATGATATTGGACCTGGGTACATTATTGAAGATCTATGAGAATGATCGCGTAGCCCATTTCACAGGCCAGTCTCTTTTAAACGACCCCACCAGGTAAAGCCTTCTCCAGCTAAGATCATATTAATCGCAAACCACATGAGAATGCTCACTACATTGTAATCTTTTCCTTCAAACTTCCAGACCTAGATTCTGGAAATGATCCGGGACATGTGGCGCGCTTCTTCCGGCGCGTGCTCTCTGGTGAAGTGACCTGTGCGCACGCGTAGACTTCAGGTGGAACAGCAGTCGCGTCTGAGGGTATCGACTCAAAGTCTCCCTTACTCCTTAGCAAGGGCATCGCGTCGTCGTAAGCAGATGCTTCACTCTTCCTATCTTCTGTCGGTACCTCAGCGTACTGATTGCTTCCGACCGTGCTATCAGGGTCATCGACAGGCATGTCTGTTGGTGGCGGCGGTGGTGGCTCGCGTGCTGGTGGGGCGACCTTCACCTCATCGACAGCGCCATCAGCCCGCGCGGTCCCGAACATGGACGAAGACCCAAAGTTGAGGTGGGTTTCTGGATTCTCCCTTTCTGGCGCAGAAGCACCGTAGGTCCAATCAACCTGCTCCAATGCAGTTCCTTCAACTCCTTGGCCTGAAGTTTCCATCCAGCTGCTGGTAGTAGGTGAGTAATCATCGACCTGGTCGTGAAGCGCTCGATGCGCCTCCGCTCTTCGCGCCTCCCAGTCAACTGTCGCAATACCGTGCTTGATAGAATCTGCGGCAGCCTTTTCAGCCTCTCGACTCGCTTTTTCACGACGATATTTGTAGCGTCCTTGTCTCATTGCCTCTGCTTGCCTATTCCTATCCCTGTAGCACTCTACTGACTTCGGATGCGTATGATACTGACAGCCAGATGACGACGAATGTCTCGCCATGTGCGAGAGGCGTCGTGTGGCCGTATCGAGTGCAGCGCAGATGAAAAACTCCGGCAAACTATGCGGATCGACGTCCGCGAAGCCTCTGGTACTATGATCGACCCAGCAATCAACCAAGAAATGCTGCAGCATCATTGGTATATGCTGTCGCTTCTCGCCAAAAATGTGCGAAATCGTATCAACGTCTGGACGTATACCCTTCACTATCTTCTCTTCAAGAAGATCCATCACTCGGTCAACGAACTCGATGTCCTCCAGCATGTACCCATGTATCGCTGCATTCATCAGTGGCCAGCATGCGATCCATGTATGTTGCGGATTGATGCCATCCGTATCAAAGTTGATATCGCGATAACGCGTTGGAATGATGCCAGTGTGTCGCCACAGTCGATGTAGTTCCGCTGCATCGGAGTCAACGTTTCGGCGTTTGAGCAGTGACACTAAGTCATCGCCATCCTTCCCTGGCATACGAACCAAACGTCGCGTCAAGTACCATGACTCTGGATTCTGTCTGCCGCATAGCACACTTACCATCGGTGGCCTAGATGTCTCTAGAAGCTTGTCTCGGACTGATCCTGGTGCGGCAGTCCGTGACTGTTGCGTGTTGGGCGACTCTTCGTTGAGGTAATCTGACTGCACCGGTCTTTGCATGTTTGTGTCAACTTCGTCGATAACGTCAAGGTCTCTGGGCAAGTTTCCACCTTCGAGAAGTGTGTGGTATGGATCTTGCCTTATTTGCTCTTCGATGTCTGCTCTACGGCGGGGCTTCTGATTAGTATCCTGAGTATGCTCACTTCCATAGAGGGTCTGGTCCACCTTCTTGTTCTTCTGTTTTCTTGGACTGGAAATCGGAACTTTGCTGGGAGAAGGCAACAGTTGTGACTTCTCAGGGGCCAAATATCCTTCTAGATTGACTCCTGGAAAGCTGGTGGAAATGCGTGGAGGGATGGTGACGCGCTCAAGCCGTCTATGTGTATCGCGCTTGTTTGATGAGGACATCTTCTCGGCGAAGATGTTTTCCAATCTCATTGGTGAAGCTGGTAACTGTCTTGGTTGAGTGTGCTGAGATTGATCTTCTGGTTTCAATCGTGTGCTGGCGTTGTGTAATGTGGACAACTATGCTGGGGCACGAGTGGTCATATGGACTAAGATTATCGTGAAGGGCTCATGCGTTTATCATCGACACATCTGTCACATTACTGGTACCAAGCAGATATGCTGATCATCTCCCCCTGTGATCAACCGTCACTGGAGGAGGTCAATCATTGGAGCATGGAGAGTACTCACTGGCAGTCATCCTTCCAACGACGTAGTTGGTGAGCTTGCAGCAAAGTCAACAAATCTAGAACTCGCGCATTATGTCGCAACCACTTTCGCGATCCCGTACCATTGGATTTTACAGTCAAAGCTTTGACGAGGAGTAGCGATGGTTCTGGGTGTCTCTATCTTCAAGTCAGTAACGTTCGTACTTGCAGGCCGAACAACACTCTCGGAGCATTGTCCCACAGAGCACATCGACGTCGATTACGCTATAGCCGAATGTTCGCTGTATCTGCAAATCTGCCTTCCACAACACGTGCGAGATGATCGACCTTTACTACCCATTCAGCTTGGCGACGTAGATCCCGCTGGCTTCAAGCTCTACATCGAGTGGCTCACCAACGGCTTCGTCAGTTGCTCAACTCAGAGATCAATGCGTCTCGACTCCTGCATCGACCTCATCTACGCGCACATCGTCGGATCAACATTCTCGCAACCGCACTTCCAAGACTATATCATCGATACGCTAGCTTCCGTTCTCGATCCAGCGCAAGCTTTCGATCAAGGAGTTCTCGAGTTGCTGTTCTTGGAAAAGCACGCGTCAAGCGTGCTGAGGAAATTCATCACTGACAAGATGTTTGGGCACGATAGACGGATGCTGGGCATGATGAGAAATTCTGTGGAGGATGCTGTGACCGCGCACAGTGCTGTCAAAGGCTGTGAATATCATATACATCAAGACGGGGTGTGCTATAAACAAGGAAAGGCTGACGAGGGTAAAGACATTACTGGTGATGCTAAGGTACTCGGAAAGAAGTGGGGTGTTGACGACGACCCGGAATTGAATGCGATGGCTGCACAATACTCGGGTGGAAATAATAAGACATCCACTGTCACAACAGAAAAGATGTCCCATAGTCCTCCAAAATCGACAAGGACTGTAAATACCAAGCATCGCAGCTTCATGGATAAGCATCAAGATCGAAACCATACTCGCGCAACCCAGTCGAAAAGGCCATCTTTGCAAATAACACTCTCATCAAAGCTGCACCATCAAGCCCATACAGTCCTTCCCAGCAGCCTCCTTAGTCCCCCTCTATCACTTCAAGCGTTGACTGCCGACGTAGACATCGATAAACCATTACCGCCTACACCATCGCCACATCAATCGCCGTTGCCGCTATCTTTCAGTTTGCCTGAACCAATGTTCAGAGACATGTATACCTTTGATGAAGGGGCCCTTCAAACACCCAGCACTCAAGACCTAGTACTCGAGTGTCTTGGACGTCTTTCACCAACACTATCTCGCACTCTTACTCAAGACCTAATCGAGGGAGACACCGCTCGCTCGGCCTCTTACGGCTTTAGACCCATTGATCCACCACGCAACCACACATCGCCAATTACATTAACAGAGTCTTTTGTTCCTGCAGCAACTCAGGCCTTGCCTTCACCACCCATCTCTGATGACTCTGCAACTCACCCTTCGTCATCCGAAGAGGACATCCCATCGTCTCTCCGCCCCGGGTTTACACTGCACACTTACATGCCAACAAAAGACTTGACTCTCGCACCTCTAACAACACCAGAGTCTACAATCCAGAGTTCACGCAATTCATCTTCGCAGAATGAACAACTCCACAACGCCGCGTCTTGCGTACCGTTGCTACCCAATACCGAGACTCGAACCATCATCCCTCGGTCCACAAGTCCACACACCCCAATACCGCCAGTCCAGCGACCCTACCATATATCCGCCACCTCTCCCTCTCTTCCACACTTCCGCCCACTGATAAAACGAAAACCTGCACCATCGCGCGGAACAGACTGGCTAGAGCAACAGTACACGTTATTTGCGCTACAAGGAACGCAGGGGTTTGGCTTGAGAAAAGGTGATCAGAAGAATGTGAGGAGAAGTCGGTTTATGGATATATTGGGCAGTGTTGGGAAGATGGATGGAGACGGTAGGAAGGGATAGGGTCACAGTATGAACTGGGAAGCCAATGACAAGACTTGTTCGCTACAACAGTATCGCAACTCATTCGACCAACGTTGAATGGTGACGTTGCGTTCCATTGACTATAGTACAGAATGCTCTCCTTTTGGCCCAATATTATCTCTAATCCATACTGGTATAATCTCCCCTTGTAATTGTACCGAGCGTTTAATCCAATGCGCCGTGTTTATACAATGTATCCAATACAGCTGAAACCGCTGTGTGCATGCTTATGCATGCAGTGTATCCTTGAAACCGGTATCCGCATCTGCAGCCTTGCCATCCTCCTTGAACTCCCAAGCCAGGAACTTCCAGTTGAGTTCGCTCGGTCGCCAGAACAATCCGTTCTTCAGTCCGCTGCCCGCTGACGAAGAGTCACCAGGGCCATCTGCCGTCATGCCGCCAGTGTATGGCATGCGCTTGCTGAAGATGCAGCGGCGGAAGCGCGAGTGTAGAATGGCCATGGAGCACATGACGCAGGGCTCGTTGGTGAGGTAGATGTCGAGGTCGACGCACAGGTAGCCGCTCGATGAGATGTTGTCTTTCTCGTAGTATAGCTTCTCAAGGCCGGTGAGGGGATTGTCGCAGAAGAGGGAGCGGTCGAGGTATGCGGGGTCGGTGCCAGCAACGCGGAGTCGCTTCTTCGCTACCATGGCGATGGCACGGTGGACGGCGTGGGCCATGACGTTGCCAGTGCCGGTGGCCGGTTCGGCGGTGCCGGTGAAGGATCTCCAGCGACAGTCGCCTGCGACAGCGACGATTTCTGGTGTGCTTCTTGTGCGGTCGACCACGACGACGCCAATCTTCTCACCCAGGCACTGCTCTGATATCTGCTCGCCAGCGGCTCGTGCCAGGGCCAGCCAGTTGCCCGCCTCGGGTTGTATCTCCTCCTGGTTGCGCTGTACGAGACTTGGATGCGGACCGTAGGGGTTGGTGTTCTTGTACGAGATGGGCCAGTACTTGTCACTCCATTCCGTAGCCTGCTCGGCAGATATGGGTGCTAGCGACGGGACCGTCACGTAGAAGATACGAGGCGGGGCAGTCTTGCCGTCGAAAGGCGGACAGGTACGTATGATAGCTGCGAGGTTGGCGTGGGGAATATGGCGCGTCGGACACAAGAGGAAGTAGCGAACTAGATCAAAATCTTCAGTAACAGTCACACCATGAGCAGCCTCACTGCCATCAACGGCCGAGGACGAGGACGCAGAAAGGGAAGCAGAGGGCGCTGGGGCAGCAGAGGAAGATAATAATGCAGAGGCAGGATCATCTTCTTCACCTCTGGGGAGCCTCGCGGGCGGATAGAACTGTTTCTGCAGATGCGGCGGCAGGTACTTGAACTGCACTACGCGTCGCAGATGAGAGATTTCCGACGTCTTAAAGTCTGGGAGGGCTGCTTGCACGGCACTGACGAGGTCCAAGGTTAGCAGAGATCAAGCTGGTGCACCAGGAGTGAATGCCTCACTCCTTGATAACATTGGCAAATTTGGCCGGCACCTCGACGACATAGACGCTGTGAGTCTCTAGGCTGGCGCGCACCTCGTCTTTGGTTCTGAGGGGGACAAGACGCCCTGCGAGGGGACGTGGGCTGCTCATAGCATAGCCTGATGGGTGGATTAGTCTAAGTGCGTCGGAAAAGTTTACTATGCGTCGGATATGGGCTAAGAGGTTCGGTATTGAGTCGAGCGTTGGGATGTTGGAGTGGTCGAGGGTGACGGTCGCGCAAAAGATGTGCACAACAAAAGTCTCAGGGTCCAGCGGGGCGGTCCTGCTTAACTCCGACCTTCCCTTCCTCTTCCACTCTCACCAACTCCTCTCCTGGCGCCTTCGAGCAGCGACAACATGTCGCGATGGAAACTCCAGCTATGGGGTCATGAGAAGAAGAGAAGGAACACATCTCGGGGTGATGCAGGCGACAACCGAGTCGTAGGCGTACCTCCCCGCATCACATTACAGCGAAGGGGCGCCAATCATCACCCAACCTGGGGCCCCGCATGCATACATCCCGCCCATTCGGTAAACTTCATCCAAACAGGCCGCCAGAGTCGCTCATCCCCCAGCATCCTGATCTGCCGATATGTATGGCGTTGGAGGACGACGTCGCTACCGCTCATCTCCATGTCAAAATGCCCAGGCCAAGCATCCGCTGCGCGGTGCCCCACTGTAGTATATACCTGATCATGTTGAATATAGACCTTGCCCTCTCTCGCCTCTTTTCTCGTAGCAACTTGTCATCTAGCGTGAGCAGTCATGGACAGCAAAACGGGAGCTACCCATATCGAGGCCACTCACGCCCGCGAAGCTCACATCGTCCCCATCGATCAGGAAGCCAACGATGACATCCATCATGTCAATCTCTCCTGGCGGTCATGGATGGTCGTCTTTTGCTGTTGTTTCGCGTACGTTCAACAAAGCTAGGATTCGTGGACGCGACTAACCTACTACGCAGCGTCATGTCGCAAGTCTTTGTGGTAGTAGCTGCGGGGTCAGTCTTGTCTTTCATCATCCGTGAGCTTGGGCAACCTGCTATTGCGAGTTGGATTATACAGGTACGATCGCTATGGCTCGAGTGTGTAGTCTGAATTCTGACGTTGTCTAGGGTCCTCTCCTTATGCAATCGGTCCTCTCTCCTCCTGTCGGTCGCTTGTCAGATGTCCTAGATCGCAAACTGTTCGCTACTATACCTCCACTAATCGCTTGTGTCGGTGCTATCATTTGCGCGAAAGCGACAAGTATGTCCATGTTGATTGGCGGTGGCATTCTCATCGGAACGACGCTCGCGACCATCTCCATCGTTCAGTCAATACCTTCGGAGATTCTACCATTGAAGTACCGACCTCTGGCAAACGGATTGGCAGGAGTCGCGGGAGTTCTGGGCGGCACGTAAGTTTTGAGTTTACAGATCAGTATATGGTAAGGTGCAAGACACTGACATGGTTCGCAGTGTCGGAAGTCTAGCAGCCGGCGCTGTTACCAATCTCAGCGCTTCTGGCTGGCGCTACATCTTCTGGATTCAAGTCGGACTACATGGCATCACATCCATCGGTCTATTCGCGTTCTACTGGCCTAAGAAACGCACCAACTACCCTAGAATGAGCTTCAAAGAATGGATGTGGGCTTGCGATCCTATCGGCTCTCTTCTGCTCGTTGCTGCTGCTACGTTAATGCTTTTGGCGCTCAACTGGGCAGGTGGAGCGTATCCGTGGAGCAATCCGCACGTTTGTGCCAATCTCGTCGTTGGTATCGTTCTGTTCATTGCATTCTGTCTCTATGGTAATGACTCTCTCATGGATCAATCCAGAGCTGAAAGCTAACGTAACACAGAGTGGAAGGGTCGATCTGATGGCATCGTTGCCCACGTCTTCTTCTCTACAGGGCCAAATTTCTGGCTGTCGACGTTTGCTTTCGCGATCGAAGGTTGGATCTACTACTCTGCCATTAATGCCGTTACACCACAGCTCATTCTCAACGTCGGATTCGAGGATAATTCGTGGGATATCGCTATCCGCCAGTTGTCCTACAAGATTGCGTCAATCATCACTTCGTTGGGTGTGACGTGGTATGCGACAAAGTTCAAGGATCTGAGTAAGCAAAATATTCTTCTTCTCCAAAACACCAACTAACACCAGTTACAGAAACGCCACTGGCTGTCACATTCGCCATCATGTTCATTGCATCCATATGTTTCGCCTTCATCAGACCTAGCTGGGGTACCGAACAAATCATCTTCACAGCCTTGACAGGCATCGGCTGCTCTGGCCCACTCACACTCCTCGTCGCGTGCATCCAATTCACAGCACCTCACGCCTTCCTGTCAACAGCTACCGGTCTTGCCTTCTCCGCACGAGCTATCGGTGGCGCCTTCGGTACCGCCGTCATCTACGCCATCGTCAACTCTCGCATTGCTTCGCATCTCGCCAGGGATGTTGGATCTGCCGCCATCGCAGCTGGTTTACCCGAGTCATCAGTGCCTGCACTCTTGAAAGGTATGAAGGGCAGCTCAGTGACCAAGTTTAGAGGCGCAGGTGTGCCTGGAATGAATGAAGCTATCATCAAGGCTGCCTGGGATGCAAGCCATTGGTCGTATGCGCATGCTTATAGACTGGGTTATTGGAGTGTGGTGCCGTTCGTGGCGCTTGCGACAATTGCTGTGATTTCAATGAAGGGAATCAAGCACTTGATGACTGAGCACGTCGAGGCGACTGTCGAGCATGAGAGCGAGGATGAAGGGAAAGGGCTTGGTAAGGCTTAGACAGAGTTTGAATATGTAGTACTCGAAAAATGAAGAACGTGTTCAACAACGCCAAATGCAGTCTCAAACTCAGCATCTTGGTTGCAACCTTACGTGTCGCTTTTCCCCATAAATCTTCTAGCTTTCTGTGGAAGAGGGAAAACATGTTAAGGTTTTATCTGACGCAAACGCATCTCACTGACTGTAGGATGAGCCAGGCCGGCCATTCAAGCCTATCCCTGGATCGGCACCACGCTCTAGAAGATATTCAGCGATACGGAAGTTTTGCGCCCGTTTGGCAAGGTCATATGCGGTCGATCCATTTGAGTCGACATAGTCGACGTTTGCCCCAGCATCAAGCAACATCTTGACTACAGGGATAGAGCTTTCTGTATACCGAGAGCACACCATCATGAGTGGGGAATCCTGCGAAGTACCACCAGGGATGTTGGGATCGGCGCCGGCTTCAAGCAAGACTCGAACACAATCTAGTGACTGGAAATACGCCGCGTCCCACAAGCCTGTCGCATGCAACCCTTTATCGCGTTCGTTGACATCAACACCGGCCGCTAGGAGAAGCTGAACCATGTCAATGTCCTCATCCAGGAGTGCAATACTCATCAGTGTCGTTGAATCTAGGTTTCCCGTGTTATGGAAGGTCCTATCAGCTCTGGCGTCGAGTAAGACCTGGACAACCTCGGCCTGCCCAGATCTTACAGCGCCACTAATGGGCGTATCATGGTCTGAGCTTTGTGAATTGATCGCTGCGCCTCTGTCTAAAAGGAGTCTGACAACATTGACGTGACCATTGATCGCGGCAAGGTGCAGAGCGGTACACCCTACGATATAACCATAACGTTCGTCAGTACACTCTTCCATGGAAGAGCCATGTTTGAGCAACTGCTCAACAACAGCTTTGCTTCCCGTTTCTGCAGCAACAAGAAGGGGTGTTCGGCCATATAAATCTCTTCGGCCTGGATCAAATCCTCGCTGGAGCAGTGCAACAATAGCGTTCTCGAGATTAAAATTAGCTGCCAAGTGAAGTCCAGTGGTCCATGGCTCGTTGTTCTCGCTAAATCCTTCGTATACGTGTGTAACAGTTCGCCGATCATGGTTCGCATAAAGAAAACTTTTTCTAAGAGGGACTTCTTGTGTAAGGAAGTCGACCACTCGCTCCAAACTTGATGGAGCTCGGCGAGCATGATGACCCCAGTTTTTCGCAGCGTAGGCGTACCAAGCATTATCTTCTGTAGGATCCAACGGCCCCGGGTAGGTGTAACGGTTTAAACACAGGTATGTTATGCAAACGTCTGCTATCATGGCTTCTGCGCCCGGAAACCACCGGTCTAGTGTACGCTCGAGGTACTCTTGCGTCGTGTAGTGAACAAGTCGAATGATGTCGCCATCATCATCAATCGTAACTAGGCCTAGGCATGAGGCTAGAATATCTTCGATATCCGGGTAATTATCAGGGTCCAGTTCAAGCTCACCAACCTCAACGCCCATCGCCTCTTGAAGCTCCAGGGTTGAGAATGTCCTTTGGGAGCAAGTGAGGAAAGCGAGAGCTTGCTTTGCTAGCTCCGTCTGTTCGCCCATTTGACCTTCAATCCTTTCGATTGCAGAATCATACGCAGAGTCATAAGCATCAGTACCAGTCGGAAGCTTGTCCAAGGCAATACGAACTGCCTTCGGTGATCTCTTGCCGAGTAGAGAATCAAGATGTAGCTCGGCCAAGAGAAACCTGGGACTTCATGAGTAGGGTACGTAGATCCGAAGCAAAGGCACTCACATTCCGCGAACCGCCTCCACAATTTTAGAGATGATTTCCTCTTGCAACTCCGCTTTATTGCGCACAAAGCCTGGCAGGCGTGACATGTTGTCGGAGAGATATCTCCGCACATCATCTCTATCTGCTTGAATCTCTATCATGGATTCTGTCTTGAAATTTTCAACGATCTCAGGTATGAAACGTGATGTAACTAGTAGGTTGATACCACACGTGTTTTGAAGTTCTTGGATTCTCGACAGTAACGCTATGCGACAGCCATGTGACGCAGAGCATTCGTCGAGAGCATCTATAACGATGAAGACCCTGGAGTAGGTCGATGCCACCAGCTGTAGAGTTCTGGCCGTAGCCTCTATCCTGTCCGAAGATCCCTTTTGACTGACGTAGAATTCTTCAACATGTTTTGGTAGCGATGCTTGTGGTTCCACGAGTTGTCGCAAGAGACCCGACAGTAGGGCGTCCAACGTCTGCTCGTCCTGGCGTCTGTAGTTGCAGAACAGATGAGCCAAGCCGATTGTGTTATCGCTACCATATCGCTCCCACAAATCGGCGTTGATGATGGAGGCCGACACTGTCTTTCCTGCGCCTGGAATGCCAGGGCAGAATAGGGTACGATTGCTGGTGCCGAGCCAGTCTTGGTAGACTTGTGAGTGCAGGAGCCATCCGCCAGTGCCAGCTTGTCGCCGACTGATAGCATCTTGCTGTTGTGAAGCATGGTCAATAGGTGTCAACCAATCCAAAATTCTCTGACACTTTTCCGTAGCTTCTTTCGTATCATGGCGCTCATGTAGCTTGTCGAGCCCTCCCCGAACGCCATTCTGAGTGATCTGGATGTTCTGCAGGTCCCCACTAAGACTCTTCAAAGTCGAAATAGTTGTTCCCCTATCCAGTTTCAAGAAGTCCTTCAACTCCCTCAGATCCTGTTCGTTGCGCTTAGAGCGAGCGTTGGTTTCAATAAGTAGTCGTGTTGTATTTCCATCAAGAGCTAGGGAAAGCATTCCCATCTCACTGTCAATTGCCTCCACCAGCATTCTCACATCCTTTTCTTTGAACGGCCATTGCAGCTTCTCGCGAACCCCATCTCGAGAGGATAAAACAACAGCTGTCAGACTCAACGTTTCGTGAAGACGCACTAGAGGAGCAGAGAGTAGTTCCAGGGTTTTGGTCCATTCTTCGACTTCTTCGGAGTCTGCTGCTTCATCTTGCAGCTGCAGTAACAAGCTACTGCAGCCTCGGATCTTCGACCGAAGGCGTGCTTTCTCGTCCTTAGCACCGGACACCGCGATGATGTATTTGATCACTTTTTCGCACAGTTGGGTCACTGCTATGATGCTGGCGGTCGTCTCCATGTGTGTGTTGAAAGATTGGTGTGATGTTCAGAGTGAAGTGGCATGGAATGTGGGGTTTGACAGGACTCCAATCAGGCACAAGTGACGAGGCTGTGCTGCGCTGCAGCTGCAGGCAGCGAGCGCACTCATCTCATACCAGGGAAAAAACCAGACAGCTACAGAAATAACAAGCTCTGCTTTACACCCTACATTGTCTCCGGAAAAGAAAACCTGTGAAGATGAACTTTCATTCCGCTACATCGATACAATGTGACGTTGAATGTTGGTGAGTTTTCAACAAGCAGAGATGTAAGGATGGAAGTCATGGACAAAGACCGCGGTGCACGTGCACCCGCGTTCGGCGCCAAGCTAGCGCGACTTCCTCAACCCTCCAAAGACGAATGGTGTTTGCAAACATGCAAAACAATACTGCGACAATGTTTCCGGATGAGATCGTCGCGCAATTGACGGCTGAATTCACATGTCGCGACCAACAAATACGGCATCTGGCTGCCCTCTATAGCGTATGTAACCTCTCTAGGCTTCATGAACATACTCCTAACAGCAACCTAGGCGCATCTTCCATCACCACCCTTTCTGAACATCCACGGTCTTACTGCAACTGGCAAATCGTCGGTATTGCGCTCCTTATTCCATCTTTCTCGCATACAACACACGATCATCAATGTTCGCGAGTGCATAACCGCACGGCATCTCCTGGAGCGCATTGTCGTAGCCAGTCTGGATGCGCTCGATGTGTTCAACGACGAGAAGATCGATAGACGACCTTACGCGCGTACGGAGAACCTAAGCGCGCTATGTGTCAACATGGAAAAGCTGTTGGAGGGTAGGAACAAGTTCGTGCTGGTGCTAGACGCGGTGGACAAGTTAAGAGAAGGGGGTGGGACATTGATTGCTGCGCTAGCAAGACTGGGAGAGATGGTATGGCTCAACTCGTCTGAGATGGAACGCATGACACTGACTTCATGACCAGATACCAAACCTTTCCCTTATACTCACAACAACCCTGCCGCTCACCCCCTCTGTACTCCACTCGTCATCGGCAACCTTTTTACACTTCCCAACCTACGCACGCAACGAACTCCTCACAATCCTCGGCGCCAACTCGCCCAAAATCTTCCTGGAGCCTCCCTCGCTAGAACAATTCCCGGACTACACACCCGATCTTGCCGCCGAAGATGACGCCTGGCTATGGGGTCGTTTCCTACAAGCAGTCTACGACTCCCTTGCAAAGCACACCGGGCGAGACCTCATCAGCTTCAAGAGCTGCGCAATGCGACTTTGGCGTCCGTTCGTTGAGCCAGTGGTGTCGGGGCAATTCGGTACGAGGGATTTCTCGCGCTTGATGGTAAACAGACGGCATCTCTTCCAGCTCGAAGACTCAGTGCTAGATCGAATCATTGCGGATACCGCCGAACCCACAAAGGACGCGGCAGCTGCAGGCGTCTTACCAGCGACGCCCAGCAAGAAGAAGCTAGCAAACATGACGGCCCACAGCCTTCCATACTTTACGACACACATCCTCATCGCTGCGTACCTAGCCTCCTACAATCCCTCGCGCACCGACGTTACATACTTCATGAAGCATACCGATAAGCGGAAGAACAAGCGACGCGCACCGAGCGCTGCTTCTTTCAGCGTCACAGGGAAGCGGACGGGAGCTAAGCATCGAAAGATTAGTCGACATTTGTTGACGCCTAGTCCATTCACGTTGGACAGGCTGCTTGCAATCTTCCGAGCATTGCTTGACGGAACAGTACCACAGGTGGCGGATTTATACACACAGATTGCGACATTAACCAGTATGAGACTACTGGTCAGAGCAGGAGCAGGAAGCAACGATGCACTAGAAGGAGGGGGTAGATGGCGCGTGAACTTTGGATGGGAGTATGCACGCGCGCTAGGTAGAAGCGTCAACTTGGAAGTAGGCGAATATCTCGTTGGTGGTGTAGATTAGGACTTGGATTTTCCAATGCCCTCTACATCATCTTACCAGGTGCATGTAAGAGATCTTCTAAGAACTACAGCTACACTGCATCATGCCCTTGTGCTTCGGCACGTCGCCACAGAACCTCTCTTCCTCATCTGCATTCCACTCCCATGTTTCTTGGAACGGGTTCAAGGCAAGTTTCATAATCTGAGGCAGGATTTCGCGCTCGCCCTGTTTCTCTACACGCTCGATGAGTTCGTCTAGGATCCAGGAACGGGGGATGAACTGTGTTTAGTGTTAGCTTCGCATGTCTGTGTGAACGAGTGGAGTGAACACTTACGTTGGGATTGACCGCATCCATAGCCGCCTTCCTCTCATCATCCTTGCCCTCACCCCAATCTTCCTTGACCCTCGCAGCCCATTTCTCCAGCCACTTGCCCAGACGCTCACGCCCATCGCTTTCTTGCCTCGGTGCACTGTCTTTCTTGAAGAACCGTCCCGCAACATCTTTCCTCTGATCTTCGGTCTCAACGTCTGACAACTTAATAGCACCCAACCTCCGGAAGGCATGATGAAAGTCCAACTCAAACATCTCGAGCGAGTCCAGCAGCTCAGACATCAGTTCCTCAAAGTCGCTGTCCTTTTGTGTCTTGAGTCCAAGACGGAGCGTCATGAGGCGTCTGTACTCGGCCAGGAAAACGGCCTTGTACTCTTCGCCTGCGCGATCGATAGCACTCTCCGCACATTTGACAATACCATCTGCTTCTTCTTCCGTAACACCCTTCTCTACAAACTGCGCCTCGTCGACTTTGCTACCCGCGCCCATGAGCTCGCCCAATGCCTCGCCAAGACGGACAAGGTTCCACCAGATGATTGTGGGTTGGTTGCGGTAGCTGTACCTCAGCATGTGATCGTCGTGGTTGGGTGTGTACGTCGGATCGAAGGTATCCAAAAAGGCAAAGGGGCCGAAATCGATGCTTAACCCGAGGATAGAAGTATTGTCTGTGTTTAGCACACCGTTCATGAAGCCATAAGCTTGCCATTTTGCGACTGTCTCGGCGTTGCGGCGGATGATTGCGCGGTAGAGACGGACGTAGCGGTTCTCTTCTCCCGCGCCTTCGCCCTCGACGGTGTCTCTTGATATGCCTGAGGATGTCTGGTTGTGGACGTCCTTTGCGTCGCCGGCGGGAAGCTTGGAAGGGAGTTTGTCCCAGCCGCCGTAGACGTGCTCCGCTGTGTAGTCTGCGAGTATGCGGAGGGTTTTTCGGTCGCCGCGAATGCGCTGGAGGTCAAATGTGCCGAAGCGGATCCAGCTTTGTGCGAAACGGGTGACGATGGCACCTGGCTCGGTTCGTTCGCGCATTACTTTGCTCCCGTTGTTCAAGGTGAGCGCCAGCGCTCGCGTACTTGGGATGTTGATGGCATTGAGGTATTCTGAGACGACAAATTCACGGATGGAAGAGCGAAGGACTGCTCGGCCATCGGCGAAGCGCGAGTATGGTGTTCGTCCAGCACCCTTTAGTTGGATCTCGTAGCGTGTGCCTGTTGCTGGGTTTGTAGACTCGAAAAGGGAGATGGCACGACCATCGCCGAGTTGGCCTGCCCATTGTCCGAACTGGTAGCCTCCGTAGCATTGTGCCCAAGGGTATATGCCTGCCTCTGGATTCGATTCGTTCCATGTCAGGATCTTCTTGCCGGCAACAACTTCTTTGAACTCTTCAGTCTCGGCCTCCTCTGGCTTTAGACCAATGTCTTGTAGCGCCCGCTGGCTGACGGCTAGTAACTCAGGCTCGCCTTGTGAATCGGGTCGAACATATGTGTACAGCGCTCCCTTGACCATGCGCGGTCCAAGCATCTGCCGTGGCGCATCGTGCGAGTCTTTCGGCCTGGGAAACGCGTCGTCGGCGGGGAGGTTTGATGTGAAGACGTTCGACTTGGGAAGGGACTGTAGCGTCTGTAACTTGTTGGACGAGTTGCTCGCCGTCTGCGAGTTGTCGAGGTGCGCCATGACTTGGTTGAGGCGCATAAAAGTGTGGAAGGGGTTCTTGCAAATGTATCTCGTCGATGATAATGCTTTGCGAGTAGGCTGCAGCGCAGGTGAAATTCGAAGCATGAGCTGCTGACGGGTATAGTATGATGTAGAAGGGGAGGGGGGCAATGAGGGGGAGATGGCGGCAATTATGGGCGCAGGAGGGTGCAGATCATAGTGATGCGAATGCCATGAGCGGCGGTGGCGTCATGCCTCGGAGAAGTTGCTTATCGATAGCCAACCGCGGAATCATGGTACCTGACTCGCCCTGGCGTCTTCTGCGCTAACTCAGACGCGTCGACATTTCTACCTTTTCACCTTGCACCTCCAATATGAACGGCCAAGCAATACCAGGCTATTTCTGGGACGCAGAGAAGAAGAAATACTTCAGGATCCAGAACCAGACTGCAGCACAAGGCTCGAATCTCAAATACTCCTCGGAAAATATCAGGAAAACTGAGCGCAAAGAACACATCCAGAATGTTGCCATTGCGCGCTCGAATAAGATCCGGAAGGAGCGCGTTGTCAGGCGCAATCCAAACACTTTCGCGCAGACCAATCTGGATAGAGAAGTAGGTCTTAGGCGAACTTCGCGCTATCTCCATGGCTTTTGGCCTGATGCATGCGCCGCTGGCATCGAGAGTGATGCACAAGAGGTGCTGGGTAGCCGCCATCCTTATAATATCCGATTCTTTGATAGGAATCCGAACGAACACACAATATATGCAGTTCAGAAATCGAACAGCGTGTGCATGCAGCGAGCTGACTTCCATCATGTTCGGGGAAATCTCCGTACGCCGTCACCAAAAGCAACCTACACGCACGATGCTTGGGCAGAGGTAACGAGAACAACATCTACAGTCTCTTCATTATCCTTCCTTCCGCAGACTGGAGCCCTTGCAGTAACTACATATGGCTCAGATCGACCTCCAGAATTGTGGCTCAGCGATCCAGGGCTCGATGATCCAGTAAGTCACTTACCCGTCTACACGTAATACTAAGGCCTACACTGGGGGGTTTCTCTGGGGCTTCTAGCCTATAGAAGTCTGACCTCTTTAGTAAGGACCATTCAGGGTAGGTTTTGGTTTTGCATATAGCTTGTCAAAAGCCATAGTTTGGTTCCCATGCTGACTTCATGGTTACAGTACGTGGGTCAGAAGTTTACACCAAAGGACTGTTCGGCGATATGGGGTGCTGCAGCCAGACCGTCAACCTTCACGCCTTCACCAGGTGTCGCGAACACCGTCGCAGCGACCTGGTCCGAGCATCTTGCAGTCGCAGCTTCGAGTTCAATGCTCCTCTTCGCCCGCTCACAAGCAGGAGCATGGGACTCGCAAACTGCCGTGAAATCACTCGATTCAGACGTGCTAGCATTGGAATGGATATCGTACACTACCGTCGCTCTCGGTTGCCGTAACGGAAATATCCGACTATACGACACAAGATCAGGTGGTTCAAGTCATGTTCTCACCCATCCATCCCCCGTTTCAAAGCTCAAGCGTGCCGACGATGAGACCAGACTGATTTGCTCGGGGCTCCAAGACACGCTTTTCCTATACGACATCCGCGCACCCCGCTTATCACGTAATGCATCACGAAAGACACTCAACTACGAAAACCATCACTACAACGAAGAATACTTCAGATCTTTGTATCCTACCCATCGCGATGGACACAAGCGTCGTAAACTCAACCACAAGGCTTTTAAGAATTGGTCGCAGCCTGTTTTGACCTTTGAACATGCGAACCGGGAAGAGCTGGATCTGGATATCGACGTACATCCCAGACTGGGTCTTCTAGCGGCTGCTCAAGATAAATCGACGGGCACTGCGATTCGAATTAGCAATATTTGGACGGGCAAGACAGTCAAGGAGATCAAGACTGATCATGCCACCAAGCATGGCAAGATGACGACACATGATCCGATACGGTCGCTCAAGTTCATTGATCGATATAATGATGTGGATGGCGGGGTCGATCTGTGGTCTTGTTGGAACGGTGGTATTGCGAAGTTCGGGTGGGGAGATGGATCAAGTGAGTCGGAGGGGTACTCTGTAGGTCGAGGTTGAAGGTGCACGGCTAGGAGGCAGTGAAACCGGTACGCAGGGCTGCGGCGAAGGGTCATCCTGTGAGTACAGGCGTGTGATAGCGCGACGAGAACATCTTCCGCATCCAGCGAGGTGACGTCCGTTACGTTACGACGAAGTGGTCCAATCGCACACTCATAAATGCACGGACGTGATATTCCTTTTACTTACAGCATCGCACCTTGCTTTTGAGCGACGTACTTCACCATCGAAGCTACAATGCTTTGTGAAGGTGCAATGCAACAAACTGAAGATTCACAAACTTACAATTCACACATACGTGAGTGAGCTTGTGAAATCAAACGACAGGTGACGACTAGCACTGTCGGCAACAGAAGTGATCGCACCGATAACACTGGGTTTCTACTCTCTACAACAAGCTAGAAATGAAGCTCCCTGAATCGCCCGATACAATAATGCCACAACTCGACATCGAAAAAGGCGCCACCATGACCGACAGCAAGTACTCTGCGCCCTCTTCTCACACCAACACACCTATTCTCAAAAGTAGCACCTTTCGCACCCAATTCAGCACCACAATCCCCCTCATGGCCGCGTACATCTCGCTCTACCTAACAAACTATTACCTCTCTCCTTCCGGCCCAGGGTTTCGCCACCGCTCCAACGACTCAGGACGTATCTGCCCACTCGTTGCTATTCTCATGCTCCTCGCTCCCGATATCATACAGAAAGCCTTCGCCGCGACGACTGCATCTATCCCGGACGAGTCCCCATGTTTTGGGTTTGGGTGGTTAGCTTTTACCGTGGGGTTATTGGTGCCGGTGATGCGTGATAGTAAGAGTTTGTTGCCTAGAGAGGAAGAAGAAGAAGATGTCAAGGTTATAAGTATGGATGTGAAGAAGGGGAGCTTGGAGAGGAACAGCAGATTGAGACCCGGAAGATTGCTGAGGGACCTGGAGTCGAGTTGTATGCGCGAGACGGGCGACAAGGATACCATCGTCGAGATCCTCGAGTCTGTCAGTCAGCCATCAACACACCGATCCTCGTGGACGCTGAGGAAAAACCACAGTATGGCTACTGCTGTCTTTCAATTCTGCCTCGCAGGCTTGTTCTGGTACTGTTACCGTGACCTCTCTGTCCCCCTGCTTCTCAGCACGTCGATTTTACTGGTAGAAGCGACCGCAAGCCTCCCTATCTGGTCTGCACAGAAACCCTCTTCGCACGCAGGTAGTCGCCAAGGTGGCGCATACGCGTTGATGCGCGACAAAGAGACACCGCCACATCATATCTTCATCATTCAACCTGCAAAGCCTGATATATCCAATGTCCAAGACACAGCCGCGCTGCGAGTGCCATACGACCATCAGATGCACGCCGTATCGATCCCAATATTCATCCTCATATCAGGTGGTTTCCTCAGTCAAGCACTTCTTTGCACGCAACTCTCGGATGTCGCAGCGGTAGGCATGCTAGCAATCATGTTCTGTGGTACCATTAGTAACGTGGCTATTGCTGCTTTACCGAGGGAGCCAACGGTAGGAGGCATGAAGTTCGAGTCTGTGGACGTGATTGTAGGGAAGAGTGGTGTTGTCGGGGCATTGAGGGAGGTGGAAACCAGGTTGGAGGGATATGGGGAAGTGTTGGTTAGGCAATGTTTCCCAGAGAAGCTTGGGGAATGGGAAGGTCGAAAAGAGAAGGTGCTAAGGATGAGAGACGTAGGGAACATGGACTGAGAGGTTCGGTACGCAAGAGAAGAGAGAGAGAGAAAGACTTTGAAGCGCCATGTCGCTATTATGTACATGTTAGCATTAGACTGACGTATATCGTAAGGTATGGCTCGCGGTACCATTGTACCCCTTCAATTCACGACGCCGTGACTGGCTTCCTGCTGCCCCCTCGTAGCAGCGGTATCCTAACCCTGCCAAACACCGCTCCCCCACCCCTTTGCATCTGCGCCACCGCATCTCCCAGCAGAACCCTTATCGCGCCTTCCAACCTCCTATCCTTCTTCCTCCGCATCCAAAGCAGCACAATACCCAATATAAACACATCAACAGCCACGTGCTTGAGGCAAGCCCACACCCACCTCCATATCCCTCTAAACAAGCGATAATGCGCCGAATGTGCGAACAACCTCCTCGCCTCAAGCTGTTCACGTAGTGCTGCGACTTCGGCCGTCATTTTCATCAATGACTGCTCCACACGCTTTCTCCACTTCTGGTCTGCGGCGGATTCCTTAGGAGATTCTTTTGATGCTGCTGCGGTGGCGGCGTTCCCGGCGGCTGGTGTTCCGCCGAGACCCGGTATGTTCATCTGTATTGGTTTCCCCAGCACGCCCATGCCTCTATTTCGCGGGGCGGGCGTGGGTGTTTGCATGGGTATAGGTTCCGCTCTTATCAATTGCTGGAGATCGGTCTGGACACCTGCGTCTTCTAGTTCGGGCTGGTCATCGTCCGGGTAGGATGTAGGGTTGTATTGGCTGTCTGGGGCATCAACAAAGACTTCGCCGCGGTCGATTTCCGCTTCTTCTTCCTCGAGCTCTTCTTCGGATTGCGACATGGGCGATTTGACGCGCAGGGGTATGTCGCGCTGTTCCTGCCCTCGCATCTGGCCGGGCGTGTCTTGGTCCATGTCGGCGCTGGTGTTCATGGCTGCCCGCCCGCTTTGGCCTAGCTCGTGCTGTGAAGTGTATCCGGGGGTTATGTGGTCGGCGGTGCGTAGGGGCGACGAGGACGACGAGGAAGGTACGTTTGACTTGACTTGGTCCCAGACAAACTCGAGCTCGGCAACTAGTTCCCGGGAGTCGGGCGAGGGCGAGGCGTATTTGTGCATGGTGTCGATGAGGGTGGTGATGTAGCGGCGTTTGGCTTCAGTGCGGGAGAGGCCGTTTTGCTGTTTCCAAGCGTCCCTGTGGCTGTTATTCACCTGTCTGCGCTGTATGTGACGGGTGCGTGGCGTACCATTTCTCCCGCGCTCGTTGCGACTGCTCGTCGCTCCCTCGCGGACACTCCATTATGCCGTCGACGTCGCCCTCTGTGCTGCGTCAGCACCGTCATGTCAACATGATTTCCCGTATCCAACGTACCCATGGCTTGCTTGTACAATCCATACAGGCGTAACCTGGTCGCAGACGGCGGTTTCTGCGACCCCGTCCGTATCTTGTTCACTGTGTTGAGCGCATGGCTAAAAACTCGATCTAGAGAGTCGACATCAGCGGGATCCCTTTGGCGGCGCATGTATCTTCGGACGTACCAACCGAGTCTGCCATTATGAGCGTGGATGTCGCGCCCCCATAAGAGGGGAGCGGCGCATTGATCAAGGTAGCGCGTGAGAGTGCCTCGACAACAGGCACAAAGTATTCAGCCAGGCAAAAGCACAAGCAGAGGTAATATACAGCGAGGCAATCGAGGGCAGCCGGCGTGCATGATGCGATGACAATGCGGAGCCGTGTGGAGATGGCATTCGTTGTCGCGCGACCCTGGCGCTTGGGCCTCGGCTGTTCCGGGGCGAGCTGCGCGCTTGCCATGTGGCAGTGCGACGACGTGTTTCACGTGTCAAGACACATTTGTTCCTCTTCACCGTACTTTAATTCCTTTGCTGATATCTTGCACCACAGCTTGCACTGTCTTCGCGCTCGAGGGAGAAAAAAACCATGCGCGCTATCAAGCGTGTGGATATTCACTCTTCCCAAGCAGGGATCCGCTCGACCGATCGGGCAATTTCTTCCGCATCCATCTCACATCCTACATGACGTCTACCAGCTAGCAGCAACTGCTTGAACATCGCTCGTAAATGACCACACACCCTGCGAGTCCACAGCGTGCACAATTGCCTTTCTCTGTACATCCTGCCTGCGCGTAGTCGTCGCGACGCTCGTCGAACTTCCCTATCATGGCCGTTAGCAGGCGCTCACTGACGTATATCAACAATAACCTACCTGCACACGTGCACCCCTCACATTCGTATATGGATTCCCAACTTCATCTGTACCAGTTGGGTACTGCACAATCACAGAATACGCAACTGCTCTGGACACCGGCGACCAGGTAACCTCGAAATCCCCAGCATCGTTGCTCCTCCGCAAAGAAACGCCTGTGACCTTGGCCGGACGCGAGACTCCACCGACAGCACGGATCTGACCCGTTGTGTAGCAGCCGTTCGCTGTCCCTGATGTTGTGTAGAACCGCCATGAGACCGGCGCCTGTCCGTTCTTGCACACACTGCTAAACTCATGCACAGCCGTGAACGCCGAGTTCCCTGGGTACCGGGTGAGGAAGTTGTTTCCTAGGTAAGGGTAGAAGGTGTCGCTGACGCCGAAGCTGTTGAAGTCGCGGAAGGGCTTGAGTTCTGCACGGCTGCCGTCGGCATAGGTGGCTTCAAAGGCCCATTGTACGCCGACGTATTGGTCTTTGTTGAAGCTGAGTTGTGCGGTGCAGCTAGCTAAGTTGAACGCTTTGTAGTTGCCAGGAGGTGCGCGGCCAGTGTAGGGGTAGCTCCACGATGTACTGCATTGTTGGCGGGGTTCGAGGACAAGAGGAGATGCGGTGGTGGTGGACGCCACAACAGCGGAGAGGGTAACAAGAGTGAGCTTCATGATGGTGATAGTAGAGTCGAACAGAATACTGGGAACATTTACTCAAGACATGAGCAGCTTAAATACTAATGGAAGTACTGATCTACAGACATCGCTATCGACATCACCGCCAGACTTAGCACACCCTCATAATTGTAGGCGTATAACTAGGTTACCTTGGTAGTCTTGGATGAAGCATTGTCCAAGCAAAATGGGCGCAACCACACCGGCAAGGTACCAGTACATATTAGCAGCCAAGACTGCGCATACAACTTTGAAGATGGACCAAGGCGGACGGAGACCTCACCCATGCGGTAATCTGGCTTAGCGGGTGATCATCTGCGGGCCGCGAAGAGCCCATTTTTCCTTGGCACTGCAGGTCAATCTTCGTATTCGGTCTTGTTCCTTGGAGGCTAATAGTGGCTAATTTAGGGTGATCAGCGTGGGAAAGGCGCCTTGCTGAGGTTCATTGTTAAGTCGTTGTGTTGCCATGAGCGAGACGTCGATATGGTGGGTCGGGGTCTGGAAGGCGGGGAGCTTGAATTATTGAACACGATACGATTATGACAAGAATGGTCATGTCATGACGAATGGTGGAAAAGGAAGCAGCACGTTGCAATTTTGTAGACGGAAGCATCGTTGGGTATCTCTGGTTTGTTTGTGAGAATTGGTCTAATGCCTCGATATAGGTCTACCCGCTGTACAGTCCGTGCGCACCCAACGAGCCAGTTCAGTCAACGAGCCACCTGAAGCCCCGCAACCTCATAAACTATCCCAACTACAACGCGTTATAACTCCACAATCATAGACCTAATTTAAGAAGCAATTAAATATATTAAATTGCGTAAGGCTAGAGATAATTTCTCGTACTAGAAAGTCGCAAAAATATTTAGAGTTAATTAAACAACGTTGTCGCGGAGGCACTAGAGCACACAACAACCCTAGGGCACAGAGGCAGCTAAACATTAACGAAATCTTAACCTATAACAAGAGGATAAGCTTATTAGCTTTATAGAAGAGTAAATAAGAGATAGAGTACTACCTACAAAGTCTATTTTAAAAAAATTTAGTAGCGCAGTTACGCAGCATAAGGTTTTAGATAGCTAGGTTACTTAGTTTTAACACTATTATTCTAATAAGCTTATCTCTAAATAGAACACTAGTATAGATTGTAAGCGTCACTTTACTAATAATAAGCGTAAATACAAGTTGTATTTTAACTTGC